TGAAAAAAGTGATGTATGACCGTTTTCACACTTACGAATGTTGCAGTATCTCCATAGTCACATGATCAAAATTCAGATGCTTGGCAGCTGACTCATATTTATGACAGCTGTAGTGTCCCAGGGTCACGTGATCACCTTTTGCGACCTTCTGACAAGCAAAGTCAACGGGGAGGCCAGATGCACTTAACAACCATGTTACTAACTTAACAACTATAGCCATTCACTTAACAATTGTGGCAAGGAAGGTCATAAAATGGGGCAAAATTCACTTAACAAATATTTTTCTTAGCAACAGAAATTTTGGGCTCAATTGTGGTCGTAAGTCGACTACATATATTATGTTCAACTGCAGGGGTGTCAAACTAGCAACGTCACGTGACGTGTCACGACGTATCGTGATTTTTTTGCCATTGCCGGCAATGGGGTGGCGCGGTTTCGCTATGATGCATCCAGCTCGCTGGCGGGCAGTTTGACACCCCTGTTCAACTGGATGGGCCTAAGCCAAAGTTGCCATATCTAGGTCTAGTGACAACTGAATGGCAGCAAAGAGAACTGCAGTCTTTGTGGCTACTATATTGTAACTAGTGATTGCCTGGATTTTTGCACCATAAATATTGCAACTCTATAAACATATTCCTAGGTAAATTGTTAAAAGTACAAGGAAATTATTTTTTTCTAAAATTTAAGAATACTAAGAGATATTCTTTTCCCTTGATTACAAACTTTATGCAGATGATACCACTCTAATGTCAAAAGTGAAGAGGAACTAAAGAACCTCTTGATGCGGGTGAAGAAGGAGAGTGCAAAAGTTGGCTTGAAACTCAACATTAAGAAAACCAAGATCATGACATCCGGCCCTCTCAATTCCTGGCAAATAAATGGGGAAGAAATGGAGGTAGTGACAGATTTTATTTTCCTGGGCTCCAAGATCACCACAGATGGGGACTGCAGCCAAGAAATTAAAAGACGCTTGCTCCTGGGGAGGAAAGCTATGGCAAATCTAGACAGCATACTAAAAAGCAGAGACATCACCCTGCCAACAAAAGTACGTATAGTCAAGGCCATGGTTTTCCCAGTTGCAATGTATGGCTGTGAAAGTTGGACCATAAGAAAGGCTGAGCGCAAAAGAATTGAGGCCTTTGAACTATGGTGCTGCAGAAGACTCCTGCGAGTCCCATGGACTGCAAGGCGATCAAACCGGTCAGTCCTAGAGGAGATCAACCCTGACTGCTTTTTAGAAGGCCAGATCCTGAAGTTGAAACTCAAGTACTTTGGCCACTTAATGAGAAGGAAGGACTCATTGGAGAAGAGCCTAATGCTGGGAAAGATTGAGGGCAATAGAAGAAGGGGACGACAGAGAATGAGGTGGCTGGATGGAGTCACTGAAGCAGTAGGCGTGAACTTAAATGGACTCCAGAAGATGGTAGAGGACAGGAAGGCCTGGAGGAACGTTGTCCATGGGGTCGCGATGGGTTGGACACGACTTCGCAACTAACAAGTCCTCACTTAATGATGGTAATTAGAATCACAATTTCCATTGTCAAGCAATGCGGTTATCACATGACTACAAGACTTAACGACTGCAATACCAGCAGTTCCTGTTGCTGTACTTAAGTCAGGATTACGGGATAGAATCTCCTTTCAACTTCCTGCCAATGGGGAAACCGGGGAAAAAATTGCAAGTCTGGGAGGCTCGCAAGCTGGTAAGTGGCTGCAGTGGTGCAACTGGGCGCAGGATGGCTGCTTTGAAGAACAGGCACACAGAAAGTGGCAGGAGCAACTTACAGAACCACCTTGCAACCTTCCCCTGCAGACTTCCCCATTGACTTTGCTTATGGGAAGCTGGCAGGAAAGTTCACAAATAGTGATCATATGTTGCAACCATCATAAGTGCGAGCCGGTTGCCAAGCCCAGGTCACAATCATATGACCACAGGGATGCTGGGAGAGTCAGAATTTTGAGGACTGGTTATAAGTACACTTGTTCAGTGTTTTTGCAATTTTGAACAAATGGCCATTAACTGAGAAATTAACATTAATCAGAAAAATATCACTGTCTGAAATATCCCAAGTTTTCATTTTAATGGGACTAAAAATATATTCAGAGATCCACAGTGCCAGAAACAGTCCCTATTTACAGACAGTCTATACATACATCAAAAACTTTTCGGAAGCAAGAGAACACAGGTTCCGAGATCTGCAAGCGGGCATCGCACACTGCCCAGAGACTACCATACAAGGACAAATCATGCATTGCAAATATTGCTTGGAAGTAGGAGATACTTCTAAAGTAATCTACCAGTTCCCCTGCATGGATTGCTCCCATGACTATGTAGGACAGAGGGGGAGAGGAAGCTAACCACCAGATTGCAAGAACACAAGTGAGCGGTCAGATGAGGAGACCTGAACTCATTGGGAGCCTCACATTGCAATGAATAAGGGCATACATTCAGTTTTGCAGCTATTAAGATTGCTGACTGAGCAGGTACAAAAATAGCCAGGGAAATTATTGAAGCCTGTGAAACGGGCCCCTTGGTAGTCAATAGAGGTGCTAATTTACTTCCAACTTATCAGGTTCTTAGGAGATGAGGACTTGACAGCACAAGAAAACAACAGCCAACAACTTAATAACTGCCTATCAATACCCCAGTCAACAACTAAAAAGCCACACACAACCAGGCACCACATAAATACTATGCATTCTGGTGTGAGATAAGTTCCCTGAGGATGGGCTCCAGCACAAATCCAAAAGTTTGGAAGACTAAAACTTTGGTCCTGGTGATTGACCCAGATTGGATCCTGGCACATTATCAAAACACTCAGACGTTGATGGGAAAAATAGTACATGAATGCGAAAGAACTTCAACAGAATGAATGGTGGATTCAGAACAAAAGTGCAGAATTTGTTAAAAGTCCCAGAAGCACACTTTTCAGAATAATAATTATTTTCTAGACATAGGGTTTAATTTTCCACAAAAGCTCTTCTTTATTGGGTCATGTGTTGGAAAATCTGCCTGAGAAAATATATAAAGAACCCAAATGACTCACTGGGAACTTGCTTACCAGTTTCCCTAAGAGATAATCGTTTAAAATAAACAATTGATTTATTTCTGCAAAAAGAGAGAGGTTCATTATATTTACTAAAATAAGCTTGTGTGGGGTAATAATTGTTTGCTTCATGAGTAGAAAAGAGGTTGAGTTTCCAAAGTCATCCCTGCAAATCTCAACTTGCCTGGGAAGGGCGTCTGTCAGAATCCAATTATATTTCATTTCTAGTTACTTACTATGGAAAAAACCCATTTCTGCTCTCTCTGGATTCTGTCATGCTACGAAGGAGAAGGGGGATGAGCAGGGGGGGTTTATGGCCCACACTTCCTTCAGTAAACTACAAAAGGACTGGATGTTGATTCCCATCAAGAGGACTGACCATAACAATATGGCCATTGCCTTTCATCTACTCAGCTCTCTGAAGTCTTCCTTTTGCCGGCAGTGAGGGAAAAGGGGGGGGGAACAAGGCAACGCCTGGAAAAGAGGATGAGTGATCGTCGCCGGAAGAACTATGGGGTGGGGGCTGCTTGGGAACACTTAAAACATTGAAGGATGGGAGAGAACTCCTCAGATCCTGCCTAGAATGCCTGCAGCCATCTTCTCTTAATAAAGATGCCTGTTGGAAGAGATATTCCAAGGGTTCTGTCTTCTTAAGGTGTAAAGTGGGGTGGGTCCTTACAGCGTCACTAAGTTGATAGTTTTACTACATATCTATGTAGAAATTATCTTACAGTCAAATCTGAAATTTCATAGAATTACAATCCTGAAACATCTATGGGAGTCAATCATACAAAGCCTTCTGGAATGCCTTTTGCAGCGGCCATTGAAATAAATTATTCATTTATTTAAAAGACTTGGAGAGCTGCCCATATTATGAGCCGCAGCCCTGGGCAGTTCACACAGGTATAAAAACCTTTTTTTAAAAAAATAAAATAAAAATAAACCACCACCCAAAAAATCACAATAAAAACTCTTGGTACTCTGGGGCAACACTCTCCCACATATCAGCCTTCCATCTTGCTGGACTCCATCCTCATCTTACCCCTACAATTCATCAAGGTCCTCCGTGTTCCACACACAACAAAGTCAGCTAAAGAGAAGACACACCTCCTAGGTCAGTGATGGCGAACCATTTAGAGACCGAGTGCCCAAACCGCAACCCAAAACCCACTTATTTATCGCCGGGTGCCAAGTGGGCATGGCCCACTGGGTGGGTGTGGCTGTAGTGGTCATGGCAGACTGGGTGGGTGTGGCCAAGGTGGGTGTGATCACCTCGATGTTACTCATGGGGAAGGATGCATGTGGGGGCCAGACAGGGTTGGGGGAGATCCAGGTCTCTGCAGGTGGAGCGGTGGGCAGGAGGCTCGTCCTGTGGGGTGAGGCGAGGCAGGGTGGGAGTGCCATTGTCGCAGGGCAAGGCGGGGCAGGGGCCGCTGCTGCCTGATACCATCAGCCCCTGCACACAGGCCAGCGAGTGCATTGGTGCTGGAATGCATCTGGCCATGTGGGACCTCGGCGAGTTAGCTGGCGGCTGGTTGAAGAGGGACAATTGCCATCTCTGGGGCATGGCGCGTGTGCCCACAGAGAGGGCTCTCAGTGCTGCCTCTGGCACCCGTGCCATAGGTTCACCACCACCGTCCTAGGTTCTACCAGATGGCGGCACGTAAGGGAAGGGATTTGGAGCGTGCCCGGCTTATTTGACCTAGTGGAACTGGCAGAAACCCTCAGGGAAAAGGAAGTCCCACAAATATCCTTATCCCATGCCATTTAGGGCTTTAAAGGTGATAAGTCAGTATCTTGAAGTGCACTGGACAAAAAAATTGGCAGCCCAGCCACAGTGTAATTATGGTCAAACTGTGGAGTGGCCTATTCTACACCCAACCATACACAAAACTCAACCATCTGATCAAGAGAAAACTGGCTTTATATCAAGAAATGGAAAAGTTGACATACCCTCGAAAATGTTGTGCCCCCTCAGATGGCCTTCGGAACCTCTGCACACACAGCCTCTGCAACCTGCAGGTGACACATGAGAGCAGGGCATGCTTTCCTGGTCTTTTTGGAAGCTGCAAGGCCACACAAAAGCATCTTCTGAAGGTTCCAGGTCTTGTGCAACCAGAAGCTGCCTCAGATAGGCATTTTTTTTCTGAGAGACAAAGACAAATAGAAAAATATTTACAAGTATGTAAATATTTATTTATTAAATTTATATGCTGTCCATCTTACTATCTAAAGCGAATTTGTTAGGAAACAGGGGTGTGTATATGAGGAACACCAGCAGTCATGTTTTTCTGAATTTTTGACCTGTTTAGAGCCCAACATGTTCACCATCACTGGACTAGCTGCTGGCACTGGACAGGATCAGGCAGAACAGAACAGGGTTCTAAAAGATCTCAGATCTCTTTCTTGTACATCATCAAGAAAGTGGATGCTACCACAGCAGAGACAAGAGCAATTAATTGAAATGGCTGCAGTCCATACTTCTTTCTTGAAAAGTTAATTGCAAAATTAAACTTTTTAAAGAGATGTATTTTAAGAACTGTCCTAACGCATATTTGCAGGCAAATCTCACATTTCCTTATAAATAGTCATGCTGTTTGCAGCTAAGCGAAGCTAATGTTTTGCGAAAGATCCAGCAACTGAGCCATGAGCTAAAGGAAGCACTGCCTAGGGAAATTTTGAGGGGCATGGGGGATTAATTAGTGTTAAAAAAAACTTGGTAATGTCTCCTTCATGTCAAACTAAGTCCATGTAGTTTTCTCTAGAAGAGTATAGACATAGTTTATCATTACTTTCTTCCAATATGTTTTTTCAGCTTCCCTCTCTAATTTATTGCTATAGGATTTTCTGGTGGTCTCCCTTCCAAGTACTAACCATGTCTGACTCTGCTCAGCTTTTTAGCCCATGTTAACTACAGCCATGTAAACGGAAAGAAAATCTACATGGCACTATAATATACTGTAAAAGTTGCATTTAAAGACCCAACTAGACACTTTCACTAAGCATACAAGACTTGAAGATGTGTGGCACTCAGACTGCATTTAAACTGACCTGAATTTTTGCAACAGGAAATTTTGACTGCATTTCTACATCTAACGAGCTTTGAGTCAATTGGCACACAAAATTTCTTAAAACAGAATAAAGCACTTCCTTCTGACTCATGAAAGCAACTGGGTTGCTTTCCAGGACCACTGAACTATTTTGAACACTAGTCCTATCTCCACAGGTATATGCAGCGACAGTCAGGAGCAGTTTCACAAACTCTTATGTGGGCCTGGAAAAAAGATGTTAAACAGCATAGAAGGTGCTTTGTTTATGATCCTAAGGCATTTCTTTTGAAGGATTTATGCAACATCGTGTCGGTACTGAACCCAGGGGAGAATTTCTTATATTACACCATTCCAAGTAGTCAGAAACACAATACAGAGGATTTTGTAGCTGATCTTTCTAGGGATTGTGATGTGTCATCCTTAGGAAGAGAAATGGAGACTGATTAGCTACCCTCACTCCTGTGCTCTGGACACCAGAGTTGCTTAACAGTTTCCCTTAAATACCTTATTTTCTGGCGTATAAGACGACTTTCTAAACCCTGAAAATCTTCTCAAAAGTCGGGGGTCGTCTTATACGCCCAGTCGTCTTATACGCCGGAAAATACGGGTATTCTATTTTATTCCTTTACACATGTGGTTTGGCATATTACTCATCAAGTTTTCTCCCCCCCCCTCTCTCGCTCAAACTCTATATTTTAACTGGAAAAGTTGGGGGTCATCTTATACGTCGGAAAATACGATAGTTCACGATATGTTATCTTCTCAGAAGGATTGTACACACGGACATTAGCTCTTGTCATTTGCATGCAGACCTAACAAAGATGCTTGAAAGCTATCTAAAGATACAGGCCTAAGTGCTGAGTTTGACGGGTAGTATGAGATAAAAAAAAACAACTTTGTGGACAAACCCATGTGACTTTCTCTATAAACAGATATGGTGTCATTACTTTCTTCCAGGATGTCTTCTCAAGTAGTCTACAATCCTGGAATTTGTTGATCGTTTCCCATCCATGCATTAAATAGGTCAGACACTGTTTAGTAGTTTTTAAGATCAGCCAAACTTAAGTAGGTCCTATCGTCTGTAGTGATGGGAAGAAAGAGAGGGGAGAGAACAGGGTCAAACATTCCGGTAAGCTACATTTTTCTTTTTTAGCAGAAAATAATCTTTTTGGGAGAGAAGGCTGAACAATGTCTTTGATTGATGGGGTGGTAGTTTTCTGCTTGAACCAACATGCATCTAGGACAGCAGCTGGATGGATGTCACCCTTCTCCCACCTGGCACCTTCCAGTTGCCTTGAGTTTTTAACTCTCAGAATTCTAAGTCAGCATGTCAGAAGGTGCAAATCCAACACACCTCCAGTATCTAGAAGCTGCCAGCTGGAGAAAATCTTCCCAAATCATGCCCCCTAGAATACAAGGGTTATCATTTTGAGAAGCAAATAGCCCAACTGTCTCTATGCACCTTTTGTGAAAGCAACTGCTTTTTGGCATTGTTTGCAAAACTTGAGTCATAGACTGCCTACCCAGATTTTAGAAACCTGAGTAGCTACTTGGGGTGTCTTAGTGATTAGAGGCATGCTAACAAATGTAAGAAGAAACTGCAAACCATAGCCTCACCAAGCTTAGTTATTAGCTAATGGTGGGAGGGGCACTCGGGGGCTTTATTGAGCTCCTTATCCGAGAAATAAACAACTTCTTCAAAGTTATTTCTTTGTGGGAGGGATTTAAAACCTTATAAAGTTTCTGATTTTTCAATTTTTTTTAGCGTGGATCTCCTTTGTTCCATGTTGTCATTTATCTTGAAATTGTAGAGTGGAAACCAGACATTGATATGGTTCCCAGTCTGCCCTAGATTGCCAAGAGGCCTTTAAGATTTGGAGATACCTATAGGAGACCCCCCCACACTGTCGATATGGTAAGTTTATACTGTTTTTACTTTTTATTTTAAAAGATAGGTGGTTGGTTCATGCTACAAATACTGATCGAAGAGAATATTTGTAGCTCAGGGTTGAACTGTGGGATCCTTGGTGCCCTCTGAGCTTGGTGGTTTTCTTGCAGACATTCCAATATCAAACTAGGTAACGTCATCAGTGCTGATGGTGTTACCTAGTTTGGTAATGAAACGTCTGCCAAGAAAACCATCAAACTTAGAGGGTACCAAGGATTCCACAAGCTACAAATCCTGTAATTTCCCCTTGATTTATATCCATTTTTATTGTAATATAAGCTACACTGAATTGGTAAAAGGATCAGTTAGCATTTCAAATTAATTAACCTAGTTTATTTCGCTACCTGGAAAGGTCATCTTTCCTTAGAGTGTACCAACTTTAGCTCTTTTGAGAGTTCAATATTCGAATTCATGTATATGTGAAAAGGACTTACATCATTGAGGAAACATGAACATAATATGATTCATGTTCCAAGCAACTTCACAGTGGTGCATAACTACTGTTAGTTTTCTGCCTGAACTAATTAAGAGTATTGAAAAGTGAGTATTATTTCAAAATCAAAGATTCTGTCATAAATGTCAAAATGAAGAATTAAATCTAAATAAAGGCATCCATCATCTCTAGGGCTCAGGTGTCCAACTCACTGCGTCATGTGGCGTGCCGTGACTTTTTTCGCATTACCGGAGCTGGGGTGGTCGCGGCCTCCGCATGATGCAACCGGCCTGCGGCCTGGCAGTTTGACACCCCTGATCTAGGGTGTTCAGAACTGAGAAGAAATTACATTTCATGCTTTCTAGAAGATTCTGGATCTTCTCCATGCTAAATATCCAATAATTCCATTGTCCAGACACATTGTTAAATACATGTATTTGGTAAAGCTCAGTATTTCTAACTACTATACACAAAATGAAATGAATTTGTAAAAAATGAAACACAGGAAGAAGGATAGGCAGATTTCTGAGCCTAGGCACTACGAATACTCCAAACTGGAATTTGATCTTAGGATAAAATGGATTTTGTTCCAGGATACAGTAATTTACATACAATATTCCAAGAAAAGGAAGCAGACTTATTTTATTTTGGCAGATATAACCTCAATAACGGAGACAGAAATGAACAAGGGACACTAAACCTCAAGGCAGGGCTTTCCACCAATGACTGTGTCCAAGTGCAAGGTGCTGTCTTCATCTTCTTTGCTTTTCCTTTGCTTTAAGAATATCTGGAAATATATTTCTCACAAACCTTTACTTTTTACTTAATGTAATTTGTCTGATAACTAGCAGAAATACAGGATACCCTCCTAAAGACAAACACCTTCTTCCTCATATTATACATTTCCACTGATTCCTCTTATGTCCTCCATTTGTTCTATATATTACGGAGTACTTTCCAAAGCTATTCCCTTGCTTTCTTCTCCCAAGCTTATTTCTGAATGACTTTAATTAAAACAAAACATAAAAAAGTTCAAACAATAATGAAAAGAGTTCAAACCGTAATGACAACAGGTTCCTATTGTGCTTGTTGTTAGTGTAATTTGTATTCTTACAATCCTGATCAGAATTTGATTTTCTGGACCACTGAAGTAGGTTTTTTTTATTTGAAATTAAGGTTTGACTAGGTTTTTTTTCTCCAGTTTTCTTTAATGTCTGATCAGCTTAGCAAAGCGGAAGTTTTATCTTTACAAGCTTGTGATCAGCATGGCAAAGTGTCAAGTTTCCATACTCTACCAACTGAGTAAACTAAATGAGGTGTGGCTTCACTTTATTAATTTGAGATGAATGAAATGAGGACAAAAAAGTCAAAGTTCAAGTACTGAACACAACAATGATAGCTAACATTCAGGATTGTGGGAATCAAAAGACTGATTTATGGTGAGTATTAGCAAGGATAGGCAGAAACACATGTGTTTATATAGGAAGATGAGCACTGAGATTGATTTTTAAAAAGTGAAATCAGAAAATTAACTTTAAGCAATGGCATTGCACGTGCTTCAGAGAATAAAACCCATTCAGAACATGGAGAAACAGATTTCTGGGGGAGGTATGGTGAACTAAAGATGTCTCCGCAAAAGCAGAGCTGATAATCATGACAAAAATCAAGGGATATAAACTGGATCTTTGGAACTTCTCTGGATAAGGAGAGGACAGGAGATTACCTACATGTGCTCCAGATGGCTGGTTTTTATGAGGCGACTATGAGACAGAGATTTTCTATGGGCGTGAGCATCAGAAGACAAGATTATCCATCTTGCTTGCACAATGTGGCTCAGCCTTTTCAAGGACACCAAGTATGAATATCTCACTTACTACTCACTTTTAGAAATTGCCTATTAATCTTCTTAAAGATCTTTGGAAGGACAAGTTTGGAAAGTCATAGAGTGAGTTTTATCTTCAACTTTGAACAAAAGAAAAAATAATCATAAACCTAAGAACTTAGGTAAGATAGCCAAAATAAGTCTGTTTCCCATGAAAATGTATTTACTTTTCTGAACCAAATTTATCTTAATCCATTTATATCTTTCTTAGATCAAAATCTTATTTAGCTTTTTACTCAAATGCTTATAAGTGAGGGAAGGGCCGGAAACAAGATATATGTTTGTCACCTTAAAGGAGATTTAGAATTACTAAATTTGTTTATCCTTGTTGTGATGAAGGCTGGAAGTCACTTCTTTCCTGCACTTATTATTTTTTCTTTCGATTCTCTTCTCTTTCTCCAAGTATAGTTTTTTATTAATTTGTACTGTTGTAATCAAAATTTGTAAAAAGAAGAAAAAAGAAAAAAAAGACCATGCAGAAACAAAAAAGGGCTTATAGCGTCATGCATTTTTGTTTGAAGTACAAACAGCTTATCTGGCCAAAAGGTGTTCTTTTCCAGAAACTGAACAAACATGCGCCATCAGCCTTTCAGATTTGTTGATGTAACCATGAGAGTCAAGGGCTGGAGAACTTTAAATCAAACTTTAGCCATGCCCCAATCCTTGGGGATTCTGGACAGGCCACTGCTTTCCTGTAGCTGCATGTTAAAAATATTATCTACTTTATTCCCATACAGTAGTTAGAATGCAGATTGGACAAAGCTTCAAATTCTCATTTAGCTTACTTAAGAAAGGGATAATATTATCCCAACTTCACAGGAATGTTGTGAAGACAGATTGAGAGAATCAAGAGTAATGCCACAGTAAGCTTGGGGAGTGGAAGAGGAAGCAGAATATTATTCTCATAAAAACAGTACCTATAACGCATCTTTTTATGCACAAAGGTGCTCCAGAATTATTTAATATTTTAATAACCTTAATATATTTTACTTAAATATAAATATATTTAATACAATTCAGATCCAGCAGAAACAGTTTATCCTTATTCCAGTTTGGAAATTCACTTAAAGGAGCCTTCTCCCAACCTGTTGCACTCCAGATGTGGACATAACAATAACAGGAGTGCTGGTTAAATCTTCTGCAGGATACCTGATTGGAGAAACTTCACTTCAGTGTTTAGTTAAACTGTAATGTCATCCTCCTGGGCCCTCAAATCCAATGAAATGTTAAGTACACTTGCTTTTAAATTACTCTAAACATACTGTTCTAAGCTGGCATCACCTACCCATTTGGCTTCTGTCAGCTTTCTCCCAGTCTTCCAAATTTATCCGAACTGAAGTAACCAGTTGCAACCAGAATTGCAGTAAAAATGCTAATTACAGAATCTGAAACTGATTTCAATGCAAACTTCATTGAATACATTAAAACTAAGTAAACATTCATAATTGGGATAAAATGTTTAATTTAAAAGATTTATATGGCCACCCATCTTAACCAACATCTAGCTTCCAGTATGGAAAAGATAGAATTGTTATATTTACGGTAAGTTTCCTTGAGATTCTGATTGCTAGAGTGCTATCCAAATCACATTACAGTAAAAGGAAGAAATGGCTTCAGTCCCGTTTTTAATTGTATTTAACAGAGCTCTATGGGACCTTTAAAAACAACCAAGAATAATCTTTTAAGTATTTTCTTTTATGTGTTTTTTGTTTGGTTTTGGTATTTCCTCAGACTAGTTGGCCAGTTTATGTAAACGCTTTAAATCTATATACAGTCTTTGCTTTTCAGTCTGTTTCTACAAGCGAATCTGAAGGGAAAAAAAGTTCTGCTGCTGTAAGAAAGTGGAAATATTGTGATTATGGATTTCTGAAGCAAACTAGCTCTGCAGTATCCTTTTAAAATTTACCATTCAAGTGAATTTTAGATAGCATGCAAGAACTTCACGCACGTGGGTCGGTGAAGAAACTCACAGCAGCCATCAGTGAAACTAGCGTTAACTAGTAGTTCTAACAATACAGCAAAAATCATCTTCGGGAGCCAAGAGACCTGACAGCATGAAACAAACATTCTCCTCTTCCACACCAAAAGGAGAAAAACAGAAGAAAACTAAACTTAGAAGAGGCTAAGGCTAAATTTTAGGCTGCAAACTGCCAACTCGGAAGGGGAAGGCAGTGGCGACTTCGACTTCTGCAAATACTGCTCGCTTGCAAGCCCCGCCAATCTATTGAGTCATCAATATCATCCGTTGCAACAAGGACAGCTCGGCTTCCGGGAGATTAGGAGTCTCTAGTGCATGTACAACAGCAGCCAGCCACACACCCAAACTGGCAGAAACCTGTTCTGCCCGGATCGGCTCTAGCGGTAGCGGCGGCTGCAGCGGCACGAGCTTGAACCTGGGAAAGAAGCTCGCGCCGCCGCGAAGGCAAGAGCACGCGCTGAGGCTCGCGCCCGGGACCCTTCTGCCAAGGCAGACCGACCGCTAGGGAGCGCTACCCGAGTCCCCTCTCTTAGGAACCTGCCCCAGCAATTAAGATGACGCTTGTTTAAAAGCTGTGGTGCAAATGCAAACTCAAAAGTTACAGGTATCCCAAGGAAAGCCGGGGGGGTTTTATCAACTCTCGAGCCGGTCAGCGTGATTGCAGTGTGGCAATTTGGCGCGATTTTCTTTCTTTCTTTCTTTTTGCAAGTTTCGTTCGCCGCGCACGCGACTGCTTCACGCGAAGCTTTTTGCCCTGGAAATGTAGTGGTTACACCAGGAATTTCCAAATGCGAAGCCACAAAGAAATTATTTGGGTGCCATTTAGGGACCCGGACTTCGATCTGAGTACCAGCCAGGTCCGCTCGGACGGTTTGCTCCTTTTTCAGATTCCTGGACCGGGTCATATTTGCCCCCAGGGCCTCGAGCGGCAAAGCTTGGGACTCAATTAAGTCCACGTGTCCTCTTTTGAACGGCTTCTCGGGGGATAGATAGCAAACCCTGCCATTTCTCCTTTGGAAAAAAATGCCGGTGCTGCAGGGAGGGCGTGAGGAGGAAGTTCGCGCGGATGCCTTCCGCAAGGCGAAGCTTGCCGCCTCCTGCGGCAGTTTACCTTAAGTGACCTTCCTGCGAATGAAGAGCCGAGGTAGACTGTGAGAGGCTCCTCCGCCGTTGCCCGCGTCTACAATCCCCGTGTAATATTCGAAGGGCGCTTGCCCTTGTGGCCCACCCAGACGACCCCCGCCAATTCACGTACTAATGAAGACACTGGAGCGGAAACCATGCAAAGGGGGGAGGCGGGAGATGGTACCTTTAACATTACAGACTGTTGAGAAAGAGCAGGTCGAAGTTGTTAAGGAGAGCCTCCCCTGCTGGAGGCAGGAAAAAAAGACGGGCAAAAAAAAAAAAAACGTCTTGGGAAGCGGAGAGTCTCACGCGAGGGACTTCCTCCAACCTAGATGGGCCCTTCGGGGATGAACTGTGGAATTCTGGGAGTTGAAGTCCACATGCCTTCAAATTGTCAAGGTTGAGAAACACTGAACTAAACTATGGACTCCAATTGGCGCAGCAAAGCTTCCTTTCGCATAAAGATACTCAGCTTCTCTGAAAGGGGTGTGGGAGTTCACACAGTGCCCCTTTTAGAATATACATTACTAGGGGGGGGGGAAATGGTTTTTCTAGCTTTGTCTCGCCGCTGCTTTCTGAGGAGGAACTTGCCAAGAAAAAAAGGAGCTGCGAAAGTCTCTTTAATAAGCGCGCGTCTGGGTTGCGGCTTAGGCGAATTACATCAGTTTTAAGGCGTTAGGAGGAGGGGGGAGGAAGCGTCGCGAAGGGAAGCAAACGTGGCAGAGCCCGGCAGCTGTCCAAGCAAGACAAAACTCATCTTCCCCAGCCAACCCCTTACAACATCCTTTCCTTGGGTTTGCCGCCGCCTCTCCCACGTTACTGGTTCAGGTCGCGGCTCCTGCGGCCGCCCGGCGCGCGCTTCCTTTTCGAGCGCGCGGAAGCTCGCCCGCCCTTCGGCTGCTGTAATTGCAATTGCAAAACCGGGTTCCGGCGCGCACATGGCGCTGCTGAGTTACAGCGCGCGCCAGATCCGCCGGTAAAGACCGGCTCGAGCCGGTATATAAAAAAAAAAGCAGAGCTACTGTGGTGAACCAGAAGAGACGGCAGCATTTGCACAAACGGGAGCGGGGAGAGTGTTGCGTGGGAAGGCGAGAGAGATTGCGAAGTCGGGCCGAGGGCAGAAACCGCCCGAAAAAAAAAAACCTCAAGGAGCGAAGGAGGCGCCCGCTGGCCATGGAGCAGCCTTGGCACCAGCAACGAGAGCCTAGCGTCGGATAACGAGCGAGACTCCTGGCTACTCTTTTTCCGTCGAACGGGGATCTATTTTAGGCGCAGGGCAGGCTCCACCTTTTCCAAAGGGGGTCGGGAGTATAAGTCTGAGGCGACTGCAGCCCCCTTCCCGCGCCTTCTGGAGCCCCCGGGTCTTTGGTTCGCGCTACTGAGGGCGAAGGGTCGGGTGTTTCAGTCGCCGCCTCAGCATGTTGCTGACCAGGTCATAGGCCAAAGGTGCTCTTCTCTGCAGCTTGGGGGGATCCTTTTCTTCCACACTTTTCTCTCCCCAAGTTGCAGCGGCAACATCTTCTACTGACCTGGTAAGTGACTTTTCTTCTGGGCACAAGTTTGGGTGTCTTGCTGTCGCTTTTTTTTTTTTTTTTTTTAAATATTATTTTAATCGAAAAGAGCATCCGCCTCTCTGAAAGAAAGGGAGAGGAGAGGATCCGATTTGGAAGAAAAAGTGGTGGACCTGTGCCTTGAAGAGCTTGAAGATACAGTCCTGGGCCTTGGTGTGCGTGCTCGCTTCCCACGCTCCTACATCATGTAGACCGGGAGCGTGGAAAGGAAGGGGGTTATTCTTCCATTGGGAAGAAAACATTTTTTAAAAAAGAAAAAAAACTCGTTGCTTATAAAATAGCTCGCTCTCTCTCTCCCCGTGTCTTAAAAGGAAAAAAAAAAGCGTTGTATGACGTTATTTATACAAGGCGATAGAAAGGCGCAGATTTGCATTCTATCAATGCGCTTTAAACCGGATTGAAGATAACTGCATGGCGCAACGTGGCCGCTAAAAATTCTGTTCCGTGCTATGTATGGAATTCTGCAGGGGTCGCATCTCCACTAAACAAAGCCCTTGGATACCACATCTTTTTTTAAGCTGCGCTTTTCTGAGCAGCGACCGGGAAGGCTTAAACGAAGTACTCTGCTGAAGCAGAAATAGAATAGACACGACCTACGATACATATTCTCCCAGAAACTAATGACAACTATAATATCGGAGCCTCTCCTGTGCTGGGCTTTAGACAGGATTTGATCAAGATCTCGTATACGCAATGCGATGTATGGATTACTGTATTCTGTAATTCAGGTTACAGAAAGCCTCAACTCTTTTCTTTCTGACCCAAATTTGGAAAAATTGCAATTTTTTTAACATTTGATTTTGCTCTAGGATTTGTTACACCCCTTAACATATCAGGACATACATGTAACAACGCAAACCAAGTAGGACTATTAATACCATAGTCCTACCTGGTCTGCATTAAGTTCTACAGTAACAAAAGTTACTTTGCTCTTATTTTTTACACAGATTCTTGAAATATTAGATAACCTCCTGTTCTTATTCCTCCAAATCTGTCAGGACAGGCACAAACCGTCCAGTCTCATGGTTTCATAAGCACATGCGCATTGCAGGCTGGCTAAAAATAATTATTGATTCCCCTTTCTGCTTTCTGTATAATTTTTTACCTACTATTTTAATTAACATGTTAAAAACCCCATATAACTAATTTGCTTTAAAATGGCATAGCAGTGCATAAGTGATTTGATGAATGTTTAAAAACAAAGTTTTTTTTTAATTTGCCTCTTGCAAACCAAATTTTAAAACTATACAACACTGAATCCTATGTTTCAAGCATTTGAGAAAAGAAGTTAATTTCAAAAAACATTTATTGATATAAAAACTCCTGATAAAGTTACTGATCACTGTCAAATGTTTTCCTGCAAACATTTAAAAACTCTTTACTGTATACTTTAAATCAATTTTTCTAACTATTTTGCTAACTTTCTCCTAAACGTATTTCACCTGCAATTTGGCACACGTAAGCACTTAGATATATTTCACTACATATAATTAAGCTGGCTATGACATCGGGGAATTTGTTCCTTATGAATACAGTAGTACAATAGTATATATACTAGTACATAACACATATACAAAAATGTTAAATATCAAGCATACAGAATTACCTACTTAGGTTTAGTCAAACCTGGAACTGTTTTAACCCGGATTAAAGTGGAACTTTACATGTATAAATGTTTCCAAGTGACTCAACAGAACTGGCAGCTAAAGAATGATTGACAATTGCAGCGGGTAAGATACTTGTCCAGAGTTTTTTTGCAAATCTTTGCACTGCAAGAATCCTGGAATGAAGATGGATGGTTCAAGAATTTTAAGTCAATGACTTTATTAGTTTTGTCATGAACTTTGGCAAAGCTCTGCTATTTTGTTTTTTACCCCTGTGAAAAGTAGCTCTGCACTCCATTGAGAAAATATACTTTACTGGTACAAATTCTGATTTCATCATATTGAGATACTGAATTAGAACAATTCAGTTGTTTCAGAAAGTACTGCTGTTATATTTAATTTTTAGAGCACCAAGATCTTCTAATACCACTTTCCCCAATGTTCTGTTGCCCAGCCCCACTAAACTAGAACTCCCATATATTCCTGCACTTTCTTGGGTTTAAAATACCTATTACTACCTGGGGACTGTCTTTGGCTCCCAGTAGCGGTATAATCTACCACGCTGAGGAATCAGCAGAGCAGAAAAAGGGGATTTCCGTCTCCAAGCCGAAACAGATAATTCTCCTCAATACGCTCAGAACACTGAGTGTATTATTTCCAAAGATTAGTCATGCGGAAACTCCTCTGAACGTACTCGTATTTCTGAGAACCACTCAAAGGTTAGGTGCCATTAACCTGGGACTATACAAAGTATCAGCACAAAGAACTTCTTCAGGCATGCTTGACTCTGTTTTAGAGTGCACTAGATAAGGAGCGTTTATTGAGTTATCAAGCACCTTGAGCATCAGCAATCACTGCCTGTGTATAGGTAGTCCTGTACACAGCATCCAACAGTCATCTGTACTGCGTACAGGTAGACCTTGACTTATGATCAAAGTTCTGATGGACGCCCCCCCCCCAATTACTTAGAATTCAGTTCCAACATCCACCTCCAACCCCTCCCAGGCCATGCGACTGCATTTTGAGCATCCGCAGCCGGTTCACATTTGTGACTGTTTGCAGAGCTCCATAATCACGTGATTGATTTACGTCATTTTTGCCAGAAACCAAAGTTTATTTCCAGTTTCCAGCAAAAACCACCCCATAGTAAACAATGGGTTCGCTTAATGACTGCCACATTTGTTTAATGACTGCCATAAAAAAGGTAAAATTGGGTCCAGTCATATGATTTGCTTTATAACCATAATTGTGGACCTATTGTTATAACCTAAGGACTACCTGTATAGGCTATTCTAGTGGTAAAAAAAGGGCCAGTTTGGTGTAATGGTTAACAGGGCTAAAAATTGGAAGACCATGAAATTCTAGTTCTGCCTTAAGCACAAATGCAGTTGGCTTTTCTTGGGCGAATCTCAGTCTGAGGAAGAAGCAGTGACAAACCACTTTGGAAACCTTGCCAAGAAAGCTGCAGGGACTTGTCCGGGCAATCACCAAGAGTCAAAACTGACTTGAAAAAGCAGAATCAGGAACATTTAAAACATGAATAGTTCAGCATTTTCAACTGTGAAGACATCTCTTAACAGCAAGATAGGCTTAGACTTAAATAAAATCCAGCCTAGAGCAGATCGCAAATTCAGGATTCTCTCCACTCTCACTATAGCTTTGGGATCATTGTGGGTTCTCTCCCGCCTCCCCACCTCCACAACTGCCCTCTATTATATTTTGATCTGCTCCTTAATTGCTTTCTGTTGAATTGCATCAGTTTGTTCTTATGATGAAATATATATTGAGCTTAGAAATTCAACTAGCTCTATAACAGTGGTGGCAAACCTATGGCACAGGTGCCAGAGGCGGCACTCGGAGTCCTCTCTGTGGGCACACGTACTGTTGCCCCAGCCTTGCCTCCCCCCACGACCCCCTCCTCTCCAGCAGCCTCCCTGAAGGGGACTCGCCCTCAAGCATGGCCCACACAGAGCAGCGCAGCCAAGGACATTGCAGCCAGGCAGTGTAGATAAGACTCTGCCCTCACACCCCATCATGCAGTTGATGCTGCAGGGCGCAGGCAGAGGATGTGGCCGCCATAGCGCTGCTGGACTGCCTGGGCGATCTGCGGCGGGCCCTGGAGGTGGTGAGTGGCCCTGTGGGTAGGTGGGGTGGGGGATGGGGGGCAGAGCAGGGGTGAGGCAGGCGGGTGGAGCGGGGGCAGGGCCAGTTTTGGGGCACTCGGTCTCTAAAAGATTCGCTATCACTGCTCTATAAGATCATAGTATAATTTGTGATAATGAGATGGGAGAATTAACAGACAAATTTACTTCAACTCTTTATAGTCTAGGGCAGGGGTTGGCAATCTCTGCTCTTATGAGTCAGCATAGCTGACTCAGGAATTCTGGGAGTTGAAGTCCATGAGTCATAAAAGAGCAGAGGTTGCCTACCCCTGGTCTAGGGGAAACTATATTTTTTAATATTTATTTCACACTTAATTCCTTGTTTTAGGAACATATTTATGTGCCTTGCGTTTTTAGAAGATACCACAATCTTACTAAATCTTTTCTATTCCAGATCAAAATGACTGTCAAAGCAACCAGAATGTCATGCATTACCCCAAATGTTTATACAAAAGTGCCTGATGGAGGATGGGGATGGATTGTGGCATTCGCTTTCTTCTTTGTGGAGGCCTTGACGTATGGCATTATCAAGTCCTTTGGAGTCTTCTTTACTGACTTAGTGGAATGTTTTAATGAAAGCAACAGCAGGATATCATGGATAATCTCAATATGTGTATTTGTACTTACGTTTACAGGTAAGCATATACTTAGATAGTTGTTATATGAAGTCTTACAATCCTTGGTTATATTATCGGTGGTCATTTATAATGCCCATTTGTTTAGCAACCATTCAAACTTAGGACAACCCTGAACAACAGTGATAATTACGACCAGTCCTTGAACTTGCAGCCATTGCAGCATTCCCCACAGTAAAGTGATCGCGATTTGGGCATATAGCAACCAACATGCATTTATAATGGTCAGAACATCCTGTGATCACTATTTGCAATCTTCAGGGCTGGCTTCCACCAAGCAAAGTCAATGGGGAAGCCAGCAGTAAGTTGTGGTCAGAGGTTGTTTGCGTTTAACAACCCATAGTGATTCACTTAACTACTGTGGAACGGCTGTAAATCTGGTGTGGTTGTGATGCTTCGCTTAACAACCCTGTCGCTCGGATCCGAGAGGGTTTGGACTCCGACTGGGTGGCCCCGGGGGAGGTGACAGGAGCAGGTCTTGAGACCGTTATTTGGGAGGAGTTTGACTCTGTGACTCCCGATGACGTGGACAGTGTCCTGGGGAGACTGAGTGCAGCCACATGTTTGCTGGATCCGTGCCCCTCCTGGCTGGTACTGGCGGCCTGGGAGG